TGCCAATGTGTGTGATATATGGGCGACACTGTGCCAATGTGTGTAATATATGGGTGACACTGTGCCAATGTGTGTGATATATGGGCGACACTGTGCCAATGTGTGTGATATATGGGTGACACTGTGCCAATGTGTGTGATATATGGGTTACATGATAATTTACATAACAATTCTTACCATAGCCATGTAGTTCAAGAGTGCAGGCAAATTGTCCTTCCAGTAACCTTGCAACTCTGATGCCTGGGGGAATTTATCACAACCAAGTTCCAGAGTGATCTCAAAACAGTTGGAAGATAAATAGTTGTAATCCTGCATACCTAGAGGTAAAAGCAGATTGTCTTATATGTGGTATATTACAAGTCATAGCATGCTTACACAAAAATGAAAAAACTCTCACTCAAGTCACTCAATATTTTAATATTTTGCTTTGTAATTCAAGAACTTTCCAGTGAATTCTATTGTATTTTTACATATTTTGACTAGCTATAGAATACATTTCTTTGGGAATTAAAGCTCGATGAAAATGTATTTACAGATCCATATTTCCTCTACATTTAGTTGTTGTATACATTAATGAGGACAGATGACACTCCACTTGCACCACAAATTGCAATTTCTATTAAAATACATTGGCTTCATGCATTATACTGTAACTCCACACAGCTGAGCTCCCATGGTGCATTACAACAACATGAGTGTCACTTTCCTCATCTTCTTTCCATATCAAAGAAATCAGGGTGATGTTTTTAAAAAATTGAAAATGGCATTTTTTATTAAAAATATTAATTACAAGAATATATTTAATACACTGAAGAATTGTCACAATATAAATCAATCTAATATTGGCCTATCCAAAGCACATACCAAATATCAAAGTAATCAGGCTAGTCGTTTCCACAGAGAAGTTAAAAACAATTCTTAACAAGACAATCAATATCTGTCACAGACAGACAAAAATATTCGAGTAAATCAACTGGTAGTCAAAAAATAGAGAATTGCACATACTGGTATTATCAAACAGACAATAAAGAACAATGTTTTTGAGCCACAAAAGTAAACAAGCAGCCAGTCGGCTGAGATAGCTCCACTGTTAGCAATGCACATTTCAATTAAATTAAATTAGAAAATGAACAATATATATAGTTTAAAGCAATCGGACTTGCTGTTTTTAACAAGAATTTGAAAATATCATGTTTTACCAAAAATGACAAAAATATTCACCAAAATTAGAGAATTAAAGATATCATGAAATGAAAAAGAGAGAGGTCTAAATGTAGTACCTATATATATATAATATCAAAGCAATCAGACTTGCTGTTTTAACAAGAATTGAAGATATGATCACAAAATGAACAAATCTGGGAGAGATCTACCCAAGGTACATATACTAAGTATCAAAGCATTCAGACTTGTAGTTTTCAAGAAGAAGTCAAAAAAGTAAAAAGTTGCAGCGGACGACAGACGATCACTCATATGATAAGCTCTGCTTGACAAAGTAAACAGCAAAGTGAAAACATTAAAATGAACTTCACATACCTCCTGGAACTGGATACCAGTCGGCTCCATTAGTGATACCATTTTCAAATTCATCATCAGATGTTGTATCACATGATTCACGATCTGGATCTGACATGTGCGCATGCACGGTAGAATACGCCATCGCTAATTCACGAAATATTGCATCATCTGGGCTTTTTTGATAATGTACCTTACCATCAAAACTTGAATCATAGGGATAATTAGCAACTAGGTCACCGCCATGGAGATTGGCAGAAACAACAAATGGATTCTCATCAATCCATCTCATCATCACTTTTGTTTCAGGTTGAAGCTGGAAGAAGAAAAATTATTTATGTTATTTATTTCTTGGTAATCTGTACTATATTATTAATTAATTTCATAGCTACATGTACAATATTTTGTTTTTTATTTCAAAGCGATCTGTACGATATTATACTATTTATTTCACAACAACCTAATATATGGCTTTTGCAGCCTGTGTAAGCTGTATGACCTAGGGCAGCTAAAGCTGTATACAGTCCATAAAGGTTTTATATACCATATACCTTATAAGTGTAATTACAATTTTACCACAGGGAGACCTCAAACACATGATGTAATTTAGAATAAAGCATTTTGTTTTGATTGATGAAAGCCGAGTGTGCTCTGCCAGGCATGGTACGAGAAATTATTGCCTTGATGTGAGGGCGCACTTCCCATAGTATATGATAATGTGATTTATTGTACAGCAACCTTCAATATATTATAATATTTATTTCATAGCTACCTGTACTACACAGTGGCCCCTCACTAACTCGCGCCTCAATAACTCACGGGTATCACCATGGGTTCCAAAATCATAGTACACAATGTATTGTTTTTGATGTCCATTTTTTTCTTTGTGCACGAGTCTGTTCGTTTTTATTTATAAATGTGAACATAACAATGGCTAGGTGTGAAAGTGTGATCGGCTTTCAGTCAAGAAATAAACACCATTTTCGGGTTTACTTTGATGAACACGTTTAAAAACTCACTGAAACAGCCACTGGTTTCATTCTGATCTCAAGTTTCCAACTGAGCAGCATGTCTAAACGAAAGTTAACAAGCGTTTCCGTAAGAGATAAACTTGCAGCGATCGACCGAGTAAGGAAAGGTGAAACCAAGACGAAGATTGCACGTGATCTCGGCGTAGGTGAATCCACTATATGCAGTGAAAGACGAAACTAAGCTGAGGAAGTTTATTTTTGATGTGGACCAGGAATCTGGACTCGAACGAAAACGAGCTAAACTGGCAGACAATGAAGACATTGATTAAGCTGTATATGTATGGTTTAATCAAGAAAGATCAGCAGGAACGCCACTGTCTGGTCCCATCATACAGGAGAAGGCACGCATCCTGACGTTGGCAAAATAGACGCGCTGTCTATGAAATTTCTGTACAAGGGGAGGCTAGATCAACGAATCTTGAGGCTGCAAGAAACTTTCCTAGAAAATTGAAAGAAATTATCAAAGCTGGTGGTTACTCGGAGGAACAAATTTATAATGCTGACAAAGCAGGTTTATTTTGAAAAATGTTGCCATCCAAGACACAAGCATCGGCCTAACCCACAGTAACACGAGATGGGCAATTTAAAGCATTGTTTTTGCCGAAAAACACAACCAGTAAAATTCAGCCAATAGATCAAGACATTATCCAATCATTCAAAGCAAATTATCGTCGCGAACTACTGTTGCAACTTTTGCTGTATCCAGAGTATTCATCACTGAACACAAGCTTGAAATGGTACACTATCAAAGACACGTGTTACATAACTGCAAAGGCATGGAGACAAGTTAAATTGGAGTCAATTAAGAAGTGCTGGATGAAAAGACTTGGACCTGCTTTTAGCATAGAACCGTCCACCAGTAACGAGATCGTCAATAACCCCGAACAGGAATCTGTTTCTCAGCTGATCGACACTGCCGCTTCAAATGGTTTGGCCATGGACTATATCGAGAATACATCAATGGATTAGGATTACTGCTGACGACGATATTCCCACGTTTGAACTTTTATCTGATGGGGAGCATTGCAGCTCTGATCAGTGGCTGTGAAACACCTATACCGTCCGACGATGAAGATGAAGAGGAATCAGACAAGGTAAACATGGAACCTCCCCCAACTTCAACAGACGCAATAAAAGGACTAGAAACTACATTAGAGTTTTTTTAATCAGTGACTGGTAATGACATTGATGGTTTGAAGTTGATGCAGTTAAATGGACTTATTGATTGTTGTAAAACAATCCAAAGAAGGAAACAACGGCAGGCAAGCATAACCCAATTTTTTAAGTAACTGTTGCTCGGTTTAATAGATGAACGAACAATGAATATTTAATGTAAACACTGATAACAGTTTTCATTGAAGTCGCCATTTTGCACCTTTTTATTCACAATTACATGTATATGATCAATGACAACCTTTTAATAAAAACTCCTTTTCTGTGTTATATAACGTGTTGATTGTTTTTATTCTGCCCCTTTGTTTGAATAAATAGCCACTTTTCCAGGAACCTCGCTAAGTCGAGGCCCTCGACAAGTCACGGTTTTTGCTTGGACCCCAACACCTGCGACTTAGCGAGGGGCAACTGTAATACAAATGAAACACATGCGCACACGGAGGTCAAAACATAAGTTCTCATTTTCGGACTGCATCGAACAGGGACAACTGTTTAACATACCTGGTGTCCAATTTTATTCAATGCCATGGAAATATGGTTGTTATTTTCAGGATTTTCAAATTCCACTGTATCCAAATCTGGGAAATCACGATTCAGATCAATTCCATTTGCATTTGCTCGTCCATTCACCCACTGATTCCTACCCGTCTCATCAAACTGAAAGTAAAAATCAAAGAAAACTTAGAAAGAACTCCCGTGTGCTGAGAGTATTGAAGACACATTAAAAATTAATTCAAAATTACTTGTACATGCGATATTGATAGAAAAGCTGAAAACTAATTATGTACATCAGGTAACTAAATGAACAGAACAGAACAAAAAAATTATGAATTATTATGCTAATTAGAGAATTAATATGAACAAATTTTAACCCAAAATTAATCAGGCCTGTCTATTGTCCTAGAGCATTTATATACCAAATTTTATTCAAATGTGATGATCAGTAATTGAGATATCAGTGTTAATTAATTATGTTAATTAGGAGATTAATAAGCATAAATATTTACCAAAAACTAATTGGGTTTCTGCATAGTTCTCTTTAAAAGTTTCATTAAAATCCAATTTGTGGTTCTTTATATATCAGTGGAACATTATGCAAATTAGGTAATTGATATCCAATTAAAACTAATTGGGTCTCTGCATAATCCTAGAAGATCTATGTAGCCAGTCTCATTGAAATGTGATTACTACTTGAAATATCAGAAGCTGAAAATTAATTAATTATGCAAATTAGGTAATTAATATGTACTCGTATTACCTTAAAAACTATCAGGTCTGTGCAGTGTCCTATGACATCTATGTACCAAGTGTCATTGAAATGTGATGATTACTACTTGAAATATCAAAAGCTGAAAATTAATTAATTATGCAAATTAGCTAATTAATATATACTGATATTAGCCTAAAACTATCAGGTCTGTGCAGTGTCCTATGATGTCTATGTACCAAATTTCATTGAAATGTGATGATTACTACTTGAAATATCAGAAGCTGAAAATTAATTAATTATGCAAATTAGGTAATTAATATGTACTCGTATTACCTTAAAAACTATCAGGTCTGTGCAGTGTCCTATGACATCTATGTACCAAATTTCATTGAAATGTGATGATTACTACTTGAAATATCAAAAGCTGAAATATAATTAATTATGCTAATTAGGTAATTAATATGTACTCGTATTACCCTAAAAACTATCAGGTCTGTGCAATGTCCTATGACATCTATTTACCAAGTTTTATTGAAATGTGATGATT